AAACAGATAGTGCACCAAGTAAAACCAGAACTAGAGTCTCAAAAAGCTTCACATTTTCTTTTGTAATGTTCTAACCTTACGAATCCCATATTTCGAAAAAGGTACGCTCCCCTGAGAGAAATCTCAACTAGCTCGAAATTCCCACTTAACACAACAACAAAAAATCAGCAAATTCCCTTGCTACTTAGATCCAAACAATTCACTTTCAGGAAGCCCAGCTATCCAAACACGTGCACTACTCGACGGCACTGCTTCCTGTACACTCGAAGGCCATGCTCTTATCCTATCGCCAAACTCAGCATATTTCTGCAATAAAGCTACTCCCACCATGCTTGCAGAACTTCGCTTCGACAATCTTCATAATATGGCTTCAACAAAATCCAGAGCACAACGCAAGAAGCCGCAAACGGTTTTGTTGATGCCAAACATTTTTGCTTCGGCTGCAAGAGCTCACCACCACATGCAAGGTGCCGTACATCCCCACCATCATGAGCACCATGAACATCATCATCACGCTGCTCATCCTTACCACCCGCACCATAGACACCATGTGAGTTCAGATTTACCATTTTCTCCTTACTACAGTGCGACTATCTCGTCGTATTCTCCACCGCGACCATACCGTTTCTACTCTGAATACCTTCGCTTTCAGCTAGAGGAAGACGTCGAGGAGATCGTCAATCAAATAATGGAAGAAATCGTCGTGGAGTCGCAGAAAGAACCAAAAGAGCCGCAGTTTGCTGCATTAAAGGAGAAAGAGAAGAAGAAGATCTGCAAATACAGAAAGTCTTGTTATGAAACGGGAGTAAAGCCCGTGATCGACGACGATTGGTTCTTCTATCCCTCGCACTGGTGGCCCTCCAAAGAACAAGCGGCAGAGGAGACAGAAGGAGAAGAAGCTCAAATTGAAGAAGGCGAAGAAGATCTGCTAGAGAAAAAATTCCGCTGTAAATATCGCTTGTCCTGTTATCACGAAAAGGGTATTCCTTTGACTGAAAGAGAAGCTGAAAAGGAAAGGAGAACAATTCTTGCCAGCAAACAGAAGGTTCAACCTGGAAAGAAAAAGACTCTAAAGGAGATTGCTGCCCAAACGCTTCAAGACGTGCAAGAGGCTGCAGAGAAAGCTGCAAGGCGTCCTGCTATAAAAGTCGTTGAGACGAAATTGACGGCTACACAGGAGAAACTGAATGAGAAGCTCAACTGCAAATACAGAAAGAGTTGCTATGAGACTGGTCAGAAGCCAGTGATAGAAGAAGGTTGGAAGCTGCCAATTCCAATCCATATTTTCACCACGGAATCTGCAGAAACAGTCAGCAAGCAGATCAACTACAGCGAGCTGAAAGATTTGGAGAAGAAAGTCTTTTGTAAATACAGAAAGAGCTGCTATGAGACAGGCGTCAAACCTGAGATCGAGCCTGAGATTTTCATACAGACGCTTATCGATCTTACTACGTTGCATGAGCAAGTGGAAACTCGAAAGCTCACGCTGCAGGAAAAGTGCAAGTACCGAAAGTCGTGCTACGAGACCGGTATTATTCCCGAGATTAATCCAAAGTTGGAGGCGGTGATCCAGAAGGAGGTCAGCGAAGT